TTCCTCAGGAGGTTGAGCCCATGATGGACTCTTTTGTTGACACACATCCAACCTGGTGTAGCCTGGGATGACTTCCCTGTTGCTCATCTTGGTTACCATTTCCCTTCCTTGTTTGATTGATTTGCTTGTTGCATTAGGATAGTCTCATGTTTAGAGTATTGTAGGCTAGGAGCATGATTGCATTGAAAGGTTAAGGTGACCCTCCCTTTGCTTGTCAGTTTTTGTTTATTCTCTTTGCTTGTTTGCTTAGACGTTGAGTTTCTCCCTCTGCTTGTATTGCTGCATTCCATGTGTATCTTTACTGTTTGCTTTCCTGTTTTATCTGCTTTAATGATTTTTGCAGTTTGTTTTCTGTTTCCCATTGACATGATCCCCTAGGATTCTCACTTCCTTTGACAAGGAAGTGATGATAAACTTTTAGGTTGAAACATTTTCATGATAACATCTAGGAGTTTCCTGTTTGAAACTCAACCATAGGATGAATCCATGACATGACAACATTAGGGCTTGACAGTTTCCCCTGTAGAGTTCGTTCTCTTCTCATCTCCAAAACAACAGTAAAAAACGTAATAAAGGCGAATTCATACAGTACGTTACGAGCCTTAAGCCACTTGGTAAATGATAATTGAGCGGTCTCCTCTCAATCGTCTAGAGTGTTTAGTATACGTCCTTTGGACGATATGTGACGCATTCGCTCCTAAGTCATAGTCTCTAGTGTCGTGCGAACTACAAACATCAATAAAAAACACTTCTCCCGTAAAAGACAAAAACAAACTTCAAACCTCTTTTGCCCCGTGGGCCCTTAATTCAAGGAAACGTTTTCAGAAAAAGAGTGTCGTTAACTCTCAGTTCTACCGCAAACGGTAACGCACACGTCTCCAATGAGCGAGCTGCATACACCAAACTGCTGGAACTGTTTGTTAACCCTACTCGGGTAAAAAAATAGATGAATCAACCCGTGTTTCGTTATCCCGAACTACGTTCACTCTGATTTCTCTGACGAGAATACGTAGGCACAAGATGCGATATCTTGGCGAGCAACCTTCCCTTTACCCGTAGTTAGCCGAACTACATTGACTATGATTTCTCGTTCTCTGACGAGAATACGTAGGCACGAAGCGCGATGCTTTGCCGAGTCACTTTTCTTTTCTTTTTGAGCCAGCCTTGATAGGTAGATAGATAACCAACCCGTCAGATAAACACAACAAGCATGGATCCCATCGAGTACGATGGACGTGAGGGGTGCTAATACCTTCCCCTTGCGTAACCGACTCTCGAACCCAGACATGGTTACGATGACCTTGTCTTATACCTTTTCGTCAGGTTTTTCCGATCGTTTCCTTTCCCTTTCTGTGGGATAAATAATGAAAAGTGGCGACTCTTCTGTTTTGCCGGCACCTTATTTTCGCAGTAGCAACAACGACGAACAAGCTGAAGTCGAAGTCGTGGAAGAAGAAGAAGAAGAAGAAGAAGCTGAGGTACTTGTTGATAAAATGGTAAACAATTCCACTGCCGACCACGAGGAAGACATATTACCAGCCAATCATGTTTATTGTCCACCTCCACACACGACAAGCCTGAACTTAGGTGCAGATGAACCATCAACAGGTATTTTTTACAATTCATACATGCAAACAGAAGAAGTATTAAAAGAGGGAGACAATTTTCGTACAAAAGAATATTGTGTCCGAGCTATAAAACAATATCATATGAAATTATCAACAAATTATAGAGTTGACTGAACGAATCCAACTCTGTATAAGATATATTGTTGTAACGAGGTGTGCCTATTTCGATTGACAACATCTTACCAGAAGAGAAGCGATTCATGGAAGATAGGGTCTATGGGTCCATAACACACTTGTATAATCACAAATCCAATGCAGGATCATCGCAAACTCAACTCTCAGTTGATAAATTCTGTCCGCCATAAGCGACAATCCTTCTTTGAAGGTGAGTACCATAATCTCGCATATGGTTCAAAGATACAACTATACTCCGTCGTATAGGAAAACATGGATAACTAGGACTAAGGCAGTCGAAACGGTGTTAGGAAATTGGGAGGATTCGTACAAAGAACATCCAAAATACTTGGTAGCACTTAAGCAATATGCTTCAGGGATTGTTGCCATCTTGGAGACCTTGCCGACGTATACCCCAAACGGGACTTGTGTCAGTGGAAATGGCATTTTCCACAGACTCTTCTGGGCATTTGAACCATGTATCAGAGGTTTTGCATACTGTAAACCTATTATTCAAATTGATGAAACATGGTTGTACGAAAATATAAAGGCACGCTACTCATGGCAGTGGTACTGGATGGCAACAACAACATTTTTACAATTGTGTTCGCTCTAGTTGAAGGGGAGATTGCTGGGGGTTGGAGTTTTTCCTAAAAAATCTCTGATTACACGTGTCTCCCCAACCTAACTTATGTTTGATTTCTGACAAACATCCATCCATCGAGAGTTCATACGAGAATCTTGATAATGGTTGGCAGGATCCTCTATCAACGCATATGTATTGCATAAGGCACATCACCCAAAATTTCATGCGGGAGATCAAGGACAAGACGTTGCGGAAGAAGGTTATGAACGCAAGGTATGGACTAACAGAGCCTTCCTTCAAACATTACCGTGATGAAATCAGATTGGCAAATGCAGATGCATTAAGATGGATCAGCAATATTCAACTAGAGAAATGGATCAGAGCATACGATAATGGCCAATGATGGAGCCACATGACAACAAACCTTGTTGAATCAATGAACTCTGCATTCAAGGGCATTCGAAACCTACCGATAACCGCTTTGGTAGGGGCAACATATTTTAGGCTCGGGGCACTTTTTGATATCAGACGTACAAAGTGGAGTTCTGTCTTACAATTTGGGCAACTGTTTAGTGATAGATCGGTGAAATTCATAAAGGACGAAGCTGCCAAAGCTAACACACATGTGTTCACAATTTTTGCTCGTAATAAAGGTTGGTTCAGTATTGCTGAGTCAACTGATCACAATGAAGGGAGACCTAGGGGATGCTACCGAGTGAAACTATATAAGAGTTGGTGTGACTGCAGAAAGTTTCAGGCATTTCGTATGCCTTGCTCCCATGTAATAGCAGCATGTTCAAAGGCACGCCAAGACCTACCAACTATTTGTATGTTGTATACCAAGTCATTAGTCTATGCAATGTCTACAACCTTAGCTTTCAGGTGGTAGCAAAGGAGGACCATTGGCCGGCATACGAAGGCGAAATTGTCTGACATAATGATCTGATGCGAATAAAGAAAATGGGTCTCCCTAATAGCACACGTATTCGAACGGAGATGGATACGACAAACAAAATGGTCATATTATGTAGTTCGTGTCGTCAGCCCGGGCACAATCAGATAAAATGTCCCAATGTAGGATCAAGCACAACATCATAGTTTCAAATGTAATCTTGTCTCTTTATATCAACAACAAAGTTCATTCCATTAATAGCATAACTAAGCGATTACAATTAACAATGACATTACATAAACAATAATAACTTAATACCATAACATCAACAATTAACAATAACTTAAACAATAAAAAAAAGCAAAACAAACAAATACAACAGCTCAACAACCTAACTAAGCGATTACAACCATCAAGACAATTTCCTAAGAGGTATGCATCAACGTATGAACATCTTGGTCATTAGTAACATTCTCCCAGAAACGAACTTCTCCATTTTGATTGAACGTGGTAACAAACCTTTGAATTCTTATGATTTTTCACCCTCTGAAATGTCTCCATCTAACCATCGGATCAGACTCTTCTTGAGATGTTCTAACATCAATGTATTCCAAAGGAGAATCTTCATTCGAGGTTTGACTGGGGAGAAAATTAAATTGACATTTTTTTTTGGTGATATTGGAATCTGATAGATATATGAGGATGACGAAGAGGAAGCCATTTTAGTTGAAAAATGCAAAGAAGTATGAAGAGAGTGTAGTACAGAGAAAAATGAGACGTTGGTGCAGAGAAATGGATACACAAGTGGTGGTATATATAAGAGAGGATAATATAATTAATTAATAAAAAAAATACAAGAAGGCGCCATATCATATGACGTATGCATGCATGATATGAAGGCGCCATATGACCTCAGTTACATGTATAAGCCATATGATATGACGCTAATGTACAAACCCTAGTGCATTCGCCATATCATATGACACATCCTTGTTAATTTTTTCAAAACTACGCCATTTTAATAATTTTTTTTTAAAATGTAGTTATTTTTATAATTTTCTTATATATAGGTTATTCTAAAAAAATTCTTATTTTAATATACAAATATTTAAAGAAGAATATATACATTTCTAAACTCTTAAAGAGTCTTTTTATTTTTTAAATATGACATTAATTAATATAATTTTTAAATAAAGCATTAAATAATAATTTTGAAATGTGACAATCTCTTTTTTAAATATAACATTAATTAATATAATTTTAGACTATATGAAACAAATAAACTACACACAGTCCATCCAAACTAGACGTAATAAATAACTGACTTTTAAGGTCGGTTTTATAAATGTGTAAAAAAAAGGTCGGTTTTATACTCTAATTATAAATATAAAGTAAATGGACGAATAGCTAGACTAATAATAATATAAAGTAAATGGACGAATAGATAGACTAATAATATGAAATAACACATTTTGATATGACCGAATTTCAACCCAATTTGATATTGTTTGAACAACTATTTTACATTTAAACCTAAAACTGCTGTATTAACTCTGTCCGTCAATCTCAGCCGTTTATTCTGGCTGCTGCGCTGCCTGTAAGCATCAAGCTGTACACGAACACAGCACCCGCGTTATTAACAAACAAAAAACGTCACGTTCCGTCCTTCTCAGTTTCTGTTAATTTCCCCACACCACCGGTTTTCTTTTCCTTCGTCTCGAAGATACCTCTCTCTCTATATTTCACTATTTTGTTTTCACAGTTACTTCCAAATTCTCCGATGCTAGATTCCGAAATTCACGACCTCTCAGACGACGCCGATTACGCTGCGTCACTGCAACAAGTATGACATATAAACCTTTTTTTACTTCATAATCAATTTATTTTTCAATTAGGGTTTTGCGATTGCGATTAGGGTTTTGCGATTGTGTTATTGTTTTCGAATTTGAATTTGAATTTGAATTGTCTGGGATTAGGGATCTGCTAGCGTGATGCTGTGTAACGACAGTACGAAAGAAAGTTCTTCGGCCAGTGAGCTTGATGGTGCTGAGATTGTGTATTCGAAGGAGAATGTTGCGATTCATCCTACTCAGTTTGCTATTAGTGGGAGATTGAAGTTGATTAAGCAAGGGTCTTCGTTGTTTATGGTGATGAATGATGATCGTTTTTTTTTTGGTTTGTTGCTTTTTGGTTTGTTTGTTTTTGTTGTTTATGCTAGCTTTTTTTTTAAAATTTTTTATTGTAGACTTGGATACCTTATAAAGGGCATACCGCAGATACTGGCTTGTCAGATAAAGGTAATTTGCATTTAGAGTAGAGTTGAGGTCTTTGCTGCTTTTGTGAAATTGGGGCTAAGTGTTGTAGTTTTTTTTCATTTCTTGTTTAGATAGAAACCTTTACACTATTAGGGCGGTGCCGTTTACTGAGATCAGGTCAATCCGGAGGCATACTCCTGCTCTTGGATGGCAATATATCATTGTTGTTCTATCGTCAGGTGAATTTTCGGCTGTCGAATTGAATCATTTGCATTTAATATTTAGTGTGCGTTATTTTCTCAATTTGCTGTGGTTTTATTGTCTTCCATACTCTGTATCAACTATGCAACTTTTGTTGTTAATGTGTTCAATGCATATGATATTATAAAAAAATAAAGGGCCGTTGAGAAGGGGGTGTGTTTACATGTTAGATATAACATAACAGGGAAATACTACCTTGAATGGATTATTATGTTCTCTCTGTATTGTAGGTAATTGAAGTTTCCCTCATGTTATTATGTCTTTGTTGTTGCCAGCAACCTATGCGTACTGAATCCCATGAATTTGGGGCAATTATGAGTAGTCAATTTAATTTAAGTACTTATTCAATAAACTATGTTAGGAAACATATTGACAATCTTTAAAAACTCGAGAGTTAATGGGGAATCGGTAGAGGATTTAAAAATCGTAACTCGAGGATCGTAGCACGGATCGTAAGATCCTACTACTGATAGAAAAATATATTTATATATGTATAATTACATACACATGCTCAAAAACCATCATATATAAAAAAATATTAAGTTCACAGTCATAACCATTAAGTCATAAGTTCTCGATAATAACCACAAATTTATAAACAAAGCATAACTAAAAAAGGAGTTATCATATTTACTCAATACTGATAGTTTTTTATTTAAAAGGAGTTACCATACGAGTCTCTAAATTTCCATTTTAAAAAATGATGATAAATAAGGATTTTAATATGGCCTGACCCGGATCCAGGTCCTTTTTAGAAAATTAGGGTTTTTCTAAAAAAAAAACCCAAAAACAGATGCGCCGCCTCTCTGAATCAAAACGAGTTAGCTTTTTAAGTTATTAGAGTTAACTTGTGATCCTTCATACGTTGCATATTGAAGTGCTTATTTTTAAGTTATTAGAACAAGTTTATTGAAACAAGTTGAAACCAGATTGTAAGTATGGCATTAGCTATTTTCGAAATGTATGCTAGTACTAATATAAGCTCTCATGACATGAGATCAGTCCTAATAACCTGTAAATACGCTCTTTCAAAGGCTCCCTTAATGTGCAAGTTAGCAGACACCAAATGAGTAGATAGCTTGTTATAGAATAGCATGGAGATCTGGTTAATAAATGCTGGAAACTAGGGTTCATAAATTTGACCTGGAAAACTGTGTGGCTCTGATTTTACATAGGTCTACCAAAAGCCTAAAGGGAACCAACCTGGCATAAGCATGCCATCCTAATGTAGGAAAAGCTAAGCCGATAATTTTTTATTTTAGGCTGGATAGACCAAGTTTGTATTGGCTCTCTATATAGCACATGAGAATTTTACAAACGGAAAATGGTTTCTTTTATGTTATAGATTAATGCATGGCATGGCATTAACATTTGCATGTAATTTATGTGATGCATGGGGATGCAAGGATAGAGTAACTTTAAACTAAGTAAGTATAGGATAAGGGTACTGCAAATACTTATAATATATAGGAAAAAATATCATAGCGTGCTTAAGAATTAATTTTATAATGAATATTAGAGACTGACACTATATTGTAACGATCTTAAGAATTATTGTTAAGGTAAAGCGTATAGTGTTGCCCATGCTCTTGGTAGCATGGGGGTGTGAGCTTAGTGACGAAATCTGTTTTTTATTGCCCCCTCTGATGATTAGGCACTTGTTACTTGACGATATTTAGGGAATTTTACACTGCATTTAGCTTCTCGGTAGCCATTGTTGGGTGTCGGCTTCTTTTTAATTAAAAAATATATTTCAATAATGAATTGTTATATTTTTAGTGATTAATTTTTGGTTAAATGCATTTCAAAATTGTTTTTGAGAAATTGTCATACTTTATCCCATATAACTACTCTGAGATGTTTTGGCCTTTCCTTTTGCATCAATGCTTCATATGTTTATAGCTGTTATGTAACTTGTATATCAACCAGTAACTTCCACTTGCCGGATTTCTTAAATACCTAGCACACCTAGCACGTGTTTCTCAACTTGACCTGTATGATCTAATTTATCGATAAAAAATGTGAATTGCTATCATGATGCCGCTCCTTTTAATTGTTAAATGTAATGCATGCTTTCTCTTTCAAAGTTTGTTATAGCTCATTCACGAGGTAGTGTTTTCATGTATTCTGGGTTACAGTCATTTGGTGAATAAGATTTTGTGTATGTTTAAGTTTGACGACACTATTTATATCGATTGCAATTCAGATATTTGACTCGGTCTATACCTTATATTCTGATTTCTAATATTCAATATCATGTGAAAAAAATCCTCTTGCAGGACTTGCCCATCCCCCACTATATTTCTATAGCGGTGGAGTCAAAGAATTCCTTGCTACAATAAAGCAACATGTTCTTCTTGTGAGGTTAGGTTCTGATTTCCCTGCCTTTGTATTTAATTTCTTTCAATGCAATCACCAATACATTGATGATAGACTATAAAATTGTGATATTTTCCTGGGTATTAAGAAAGCTCGAGGGAGCCGTTACTGTATAAAATGAGTTATTTGATTCTCCCCTTTCTCACTCGAATGGTTATATCATAGCGGGAGAGAAATATAAAAATAGAACATTCTTTCAAAGCTGATTGTTTGCAGCAGTGTTATGAATCCCAGATAGCGCAGCGGGGCGGCCGACCCCAAAAAAGCTGATTCTTTCAAAGCTGATTGTTTAACTATTTTTTAGACAAATTATATTAATAATAACTACAATTAAAAGAAGAAAAAAACAGAGGAAGAGTTATTAAATTATTATTACTTTAAAAAACCGAGGACAGCGAGAACCAAAGAGAAGAAAAAAGAAAGATTTAAAAGAATAACAGTGGATGGTGAGAAAATTATTACTTTAAAATAACAGAGGACAGTGAGATCTAAAGAGAAGAAAAAAGAAAGGTTTAAAAGAATAACAGAGGATGGTGAGAAAAGAAAAGAAGAAGCAAAGAATAAAAGGAAAACAGAGGAAAACCAGCCTGAATGGAGGCCTCTTTGAAGGCAGCGGTGCTGAGAGGGGAGGAATCGACCGAAGTGAGAAGAGAATGGGGTGGAAGCCATGAGAAATGAGAACACGATGAGGATGAGGGAGGTAGCAAACAAGTGAGAAGAGTGAGAAGACAATGAAGAATGTTGAGATTAAGGCAAGTTGTGCGAAATGACAAAAAAGTCCTCCAAAGTTATATTTTTAAGGGCAAAAAATATGGCATTTCTGTTTCAAAACAGATAGTGGGCTGTAACCCGATCCGGGCCGGGAAGCGCTCTTCTCCCGCGATCTGCTAAACCTCAAATCGCGTCCGTGATCTCAAACTGAGACGCAAACCGCTCCTCCATAGCGGAGGGTCACCGTTCCGGGATGCTATCCCGGGATAGTGCCGCAATCAATAACTCTGGTTTGCAGAGATGTTTGTCTTCGCTTATGATTATTTTGGAAGATGTGCTGAAAAACATATCTTGAAAATTCACTCACATACAGCTTCTATGGTGTCTTCATGGTTTCAAAATATAGCAAAAGAGAAGTTTTAAACAAAACAGAATTTGATGACAAGTTCCGTCTACAAGAAGGCCCATGTGTTGTTAAATTTCCCCCTACCGGTTTTTTGTGCACTGTGTCTTTTCATTCTATCTTTTTCTTTAGAAGCCATCATGGGTAGCTTTTACTTGAGCGCAAACCAAATGTTTAATATCACATTTTTATTTCTTCTTCTGATGCATTTCAGATCTGCGGAAGATGCAAACGTGTTCCTAGTAAATGATTTTCAGAGTACACTGCAGGTGTGTGCTATGCAATATTCATGTGAAGTTTGTTCAGGTTTTGCAACTGCATCATATGATAGGGACTTGGGTATTAGGGGATGCCTAAGTCCTACATTTAGTAGTATGGGATGCTCGATGGAGTATTTAAGGGGCTTGAGTTTCCCCCCTCGGTAGCTTGCTTTTAAGAGAGGGTTCCTTAAGTGCTAGGATACTCATCAGATCACTGGTCCAGTTTATCTTTTGACCTTAGCAAAGATATTTCGAGGAAAATATTTCCCAAAAATAAGAGGATTTTACCTCAATAGTGATTCAAGATCATAAGTAATTTACCCTCTTTTATTGTGATGGTCTAAATGTTAAAATAACTTGTCCATCTAGCAAATGATAAGTCCAAATGTTAAATAGCTTATCCTTACCAAGAAAGATGAGAAGAAAGAAAATGCTTACATGTTGAGTTTGTAATTGAATATTATTATTTCATTGTTTTGGCCTGCTGACTTTTTAATGCTTGGTTGACTATCAGAGGACTTTGTCTTCCTTGGAATTGCCCAGGGCTGTTCCTCTTGCACATGGACCTTCAAATATGTCTGTTGATGAGTCCACTTTGAATGAGAACGAAGAAAGGAATGATAGTGGTGTAAATAATGGAAGTGTAAGTGTTCCTCAGTTCCACAGGAGACCAAGACATAAAGTTCAAGATCCTGCACGGGACCTCTCTATACAAGTTTTAGAGAAGTTCTCTCTTGTTACTAAGTTTGCCCGTGAAACAACTTCACAACTCTTCAGAGAAAATCAGACTAATGGATTTAGTATCAATGAGAGGAGAACCCAAATCCAGACTAACCTTGACTCTCCGAAGTCTTCCAATGTTGCAGGAAAAGTTTCAGACGAAAGTTCTGCTGTCCCAGATTCTCAGGAGGTAACTCCTTTTCCTTGGTATTAATACTGTGAACGTTAGCTTGCTTTTAGGATTCACATTAAAAGCTGTGTTGTTAATTGAAAATAACTCTTATAGATATGTGGTGCTTATATTGTTCATATATTCTACCCTGAGTATTGTTTACTTCCAGTGATTTGTGGAGTAACACTAACATTGTAGAATCAACATATTATGTTGAAGGGTTCCCATTGTGTATAGTTTTGTAAAATAATAGTACACATCTTTAAGATAGTTATTGTTTGTTTTCTTTTAGTTCTTTAGCTACTATTACTTCATTACAAAAGTGTGTTTGTCTACTCATGCATTTCTTTAATCCTATGAATAATATGTTAGGATATCTTAATTTGTTGGCTTTGTTTAATGCACATTTCTGTACCAATTTATTAGACCAAACTTTTGGCAGCTATTAGAAAATTATTCTGTAGACAGAGTAAGCTTGGTTGATATATGGTGCATATAGTAAGGCCATTTTTTGGTGCAAGGTAGTACTTACATAGATTTAGACACCCCTGGTACAAACCTATTACATAATGCATTAGAGAAGGGGATTATTTAAGTCTCCTAAGATGCTATGTTGGGATTCTTAATTTGGTGGCTGTGTTTCATTAGCATGTATGGAACCTATTATGTATTCTTCTTCCCCTCTGCATATATGCTTCACAATATGCGAAGGAAGTATAGAAAACTGATCCTTTATTGCATCAGCACCCAGCAGTCTGGTTGGTTAAACTTCCGACATTATGTGTCATGCATATAGGATGTGATAAAGCTTCTGGATTATTTTTTTTGGCTACCAGATGTGTCGAACAGAGAGAGAGTGTGCACACTTAATTGAAGAAAAGCATTAATGTTAGGAAAAAGAAGAAAAAATATTAGTTTACCATAGTTTTTGAGTTACTCAAACTCAACATTCACAGTTAGAGTAAAATAGTGAAATATCAGTTATAACAAAACCCAACAACAATGACTGTCATGTAGTTTACCATCTTTAGCATCTCATTTAGCAAGTTAGCACCATTTTGATGATTTTCATTTCGGCATCTATGTACTAGATTTGTTCAAGATCATACATACTGTATTAAATATTGTCTAATTTTAATTGCCTTGTCCACATTCTTCCCCGGTGGCATCTGTCAATCCACATTAATGTAGTAGACTGGAATAATCTGATTGTCATGGAGGTAGTCATATTTGGCTTGTATGGTTATGATTGGTTTGGATATTTCTCACATCTCCCAATTTTGTAGCGGATTTCCGCCTGTTCACCTTTTCACAACATTAATGATTATAATTAATAACATCTTTTTTATTTGTTTCTCTTATGGCAGTTTGACAATTTGTCACTAGTATGGGGAAAACCGCGACAACCCCCTTTAGATTCTAAAGAGGTATGATCTGTGTGTTTCATAAAAGATTTTATTTTTTAGACTGCCAGCATTATTACATGCTTGAATTTCTCTAGTAAATGCTCATTTGTCACAATGATCATTGATATTGGAATGTACGGTTTTCTCATTGCTTTTGTAAATGAAATAACTTGGATGGGTTTTCCTGGGATGACTGAACCAAAATTTAAATGGCAATAGTTTTGGATAGTTTAATAGTTCTCGGAGCATTGTAATTAACTTGAAAAGAAAAGTATGTTTTCCTATATTCAAAAAATCAATATGCGATACATGTATGAAGTATAAAATGTGAAAATAAAATAAATTTTTAGTACTTATTTTTTAAATCTCTTACTGGCTATTTTATATCGATGTTTGTTAGACTTTTTTTGCAACCATATTTTTTATGTTGAGCATGCAGTGGTAGAATATTCTTGCTGGACAAAAATAAATTTGTTTCTCTATAAATTAATATGATATAACAAGTTTATGTAAATACAGTAAATTTTGAGTAAATGATATTTTTGTAAGAAGCATACTTTTCATCCTATCCATTTTGATATGGTGCATTATCAAATATATGACTGTATTATCTACATGCACTGCACTATAAAGGAGCCTCCTGGTGGGGTTATAAGAAGACAACTTGTATTAATTTTCAGATTTTAAAATGATTGAGAATTGTTGAGGGATGTCATTCATGCTGTTTAAATCCTGAAAATTTTCAGATTTTGTATACTAATTGATTTTTTGGCTCAATCATATGCAGTGGATTACCTTCTTGGATTCTGAAGGGAGAGTCACAGATTCAGAAGCTATGAGAAAGAGAATATTTTATGGTGGCCTTGACCACGAATTACGAAATGAGGTTTGTATATTGCATCTGTGACAAGTTATACAGGATGAGAGTATCCTGATTATGAATTGAAATAATCTTATCCTCTGATATATCTTTCATATAACATGTAAATAAAAATAATAGGTCTGGGGTTTGCTTTTGGGATACTATACGTATGACTCAACATATGCTGAGAGAGAATTTCTGAAGTCAGTCAAGAAGTCAGAGTACGAGAACATAAAGAACCAGTGGCAGGTTTTCATTTACTCCCCGAAAAAGATATACTTTTCTTTCTGCCTTCCTACTATGAACTTGAATGAAACTGATTTAATGAGGTCACTGTTTTTTGTATAATAGTTCCTGTCCCGAAATCATGAGATGATCCACAGCGCCTGTAGTTTCAAGTTTGTCAAATATTTAAATCAATAACATTATGAAATGAATTCACTTTCAGAATTTTTAAGTATACTGATGATAGACTGATCACATATTATTAAATATGGGTGTAAATAAGTTAGTATTTAGATAGAAGATTGCAAAATCAATTTTGATGCATTGCATTTGCATTATGTGTTTTTTTCACCTGGAACCAGGCAAGAACTATTTATTTTTGGTTCCTGCTACCCCCCCGCAAACTGGATTCTCGACTGTGCAATCCCAAAATGGACATGAAGATGACAATAAAAAAAGATTAAATACTAAACCTAACCCTGCAGTTGCACAGATGTGATGATCTGCACATGGATATACTTTTTGTTGTTTTAGTTTTGTTTTCTATTTTTAATTAATACTCTTGTTATTATGAATTCTGATCATGGACATCACCAGCTCTTTTGACATTGTTTTTCTGCTATAATTTTGTAAGCTCTGAACTAAGTCTTTTTCAATGTATAAATTTGTATATATACTTCTTGTAGAGTATCTCCCCGGCTCAGGCTAAACGATTCACGAAATTCAGGGAAAGGAAAGGGCTTATTGAGAAAGACGTGGTAAGCTGAACACTACTAAATCCAAATGACTAAAAGTGAAGAGATAAATGATGCTTATGTAGTTTTAACTGTTTTTCCTTGTATATTTGAAGGTGAGAACTGATAGATCAATCACTTTCTATGAGGGGGATGATAATCCAAATGTAAATGTTCTGCGAGATATCCTGTTGACATATTCATTCTACAACTTCGATCTTGGTTATTGTCAGGTACTGAGCAATGGTTCTGGGCTTAATCTTACAACTACAATTAAAGCTTTTTTCTACTAGGTTTGGGCTAAATCTAGTTATTAATATCTATTAGCAACCACACCCAAGTAGGCCACTGTAATATTTAGTTATATAGGTAGTTAAAGTGGGAGATAATAAATTTATAAAAGGGAAACTCAGTGGCATAAAGATCCCGCCACATACAAAGTCGAGGAAAAGGTTGACATATCATGGCTGTAGGAAGTTTTATTTTTATTTGCTAGTAATTTCATGACTCAACTTGTCACCTCCTAAGCAGCCGTTGCAACAAGCTTCCCTTTTTGGTTTCCATATTTTTATTGAGAGTGGAAATCGGAAGGATAGTGCTGGTCTCTCAAATAAGGTGGTTAGTGGTTAGAGAGCAAATTTAACAATTATACCCTATCTTTTCTGAATCACATTGATACTGTATCTGTCCAAGTGTCGCAATTAAGGTGTTTCCAGTCTTAACTGCCTTTCTGAACATGTAACATTATCATATGTCGTACACACGAAAGTTTCTTTTAGAAGTTATCAGCTCTACTTTATAATATGCATGTGTGGTGCAGGCCTACTTGATTAAAAAAATAAATTATGTATTCACTGTAGTCAGAGATGAGTGTCTCAATAGCTATTATCTTCCTGAATCAATATGTTATAAACATCGAAAAATAACATCCTTTTTTACATGCACCATCTTCCCCTCTGCCAATCCAAAAAATAAAAATGAAAACAGTTATAGTTGAGGACTGTTAAACCACATGGTTGTGGAACCTCATACTGCTCTTTTGCAGGGAATGAGTGATCTTCTGTCTCCCATATTGTTTGTGATGGATGATGAATCAGAGGCATTTTGGTGTTTTGTTGCTCTGATGGAACGCCTCGGGCCCAATTTTAATCGTGACCAAAATGGCATGCACTCTCAACTTTTTGCATTATCTAAGGTTTATTTCTTGTTCTCTTTCTCCTTGACAAGCTGCATACACATACCATTGTTGATTTTTGGCGATTACGTTGTTCTATATTTGTTTGTCTATTTTACCCTTTGTTTTCAGTAGCCTTTTCCTAGCATTGTTTTATTATATATTAATATGTATGTCCTCAACTTCATTATGTATACATTAATAGTGTAAAGCTTAGTAACAGTCCTAATAAGGACTTGTAGCTTGTGTAACTAAATGAGGTGGCTATCCCTTTAGTAGTAACTAACTGTGCTGAGTCAGCATCAGTTAGTTACCCTATATAAACTCTTAACTGAGTTTCTTGTAACTAACATTTGATCAATGCAAATTCTGTTAGAAGAAAATAACAGAATGAATTCACTCTCTCTTCTCCTTTAATCTCTCTCATTCTAATATACGTCATCTATGGCATCTTTAAATAACTTGGGAATATATATGATGTGTAATAGCAATTGCATATTGAAGTTATTGTTGCGTTTTTCAATAGTTTTTACTCCTTACAAGGAGACACCCTTTCTTCTGACCGGCTATGCCGATGTAGCTGCTAAAACACTTCAATTTTCTCCCTTATGTTCCAAACTTCTGATTCTGGAATATAAAGAAAGGATTTGGATTCTCTCATGTTTGAATCTAACATGAAGGGAATATATTCATCATCTTACCATGAAACTCATTTAAGTTTCACAACTTCAAAATATATAAGTGGGGCCCACTGAGTTTTAATACTGAGATCCAAATCCATAAAGAAATTGATTACCAATCTACCAGATCTACTATAATTTGAAGTAATTATATGCCTGGCACCAATTTACTTGCGGTCTTCATTCAGCTGTGTTTTGTTTTCATGTATTTTTTATAATTACTGTGCATAATTACAAATGATTATTTTCTGTATTTAGCAACAAGAATAAATTATGTTCAGCAACTGAGATTCATGAGTTATTTCTATTTGAACTTTTAATGTGTCTGTCTCACCCAACTGACATTTTTTGTTTCTGGGTAACTGGTCTCCACGAATGTGTTGCTTTTAATATCCTCCTCCATTCCTTACTTATATTTATTTGTTGCAGTTGGTGGAGCTGTTGGACAGTCCATTACATAACTATTTTAAGCAGCATGACTGCCTCAATTACTTCTTTTGTTTCCGCTGGATTTTGATTCAATTTAAAAGGTTAGATTATTTGAATTTTCAATTTTGATCATAATTCAATAATTTTTGGCTTATCTGATGTCAATACTAATAGTGTTGGGTTTCTTTGTTCTCAAATGAAGTTATTTTATGCACAGTACCTTTTGAATCACTGTTGTCAAATAGCGGCACTATAGGGGCATAGCATAGCCAAATTTGAACAAACTACTATCGTTCCGCAATATTCTATTTCAGTATACTAGTTATAGTGACGATATAGCCCTTTGCCCTTTTCTGTAGCAAAATTTGAACAAATAGCTATTTCTAGCAATCTGTCATTAATAACACCGTTTTGAACAGATCCACTATGCCGGCAATGTAATGCTGTTATTAAATGAATTCCCCTGTAGGAAAACAAGTCCTGACAATATAATATTTCTCCTCTGCTTGCTAGATATTATTTTGCCTCCCCTTAAGTTCAATGGACCTCTATTTACCTAAAAAAGATTCTGATAAAACACCTAGACACCCAGGCATATTCTAGAAGAAAGTGGGGCCAATGAGGTGTCATGATCCATTGCTGTTAGTGAGGGGGAGTATTATAGAGGGATGAGGAGAGGCATTGGGAAATATTCTTAGAGTTGTTTAGGAGGATTTTTTCTCTGGTTAGGAGCATGGTGCTCTGGGTTTCCTTTCATTTTTTGTTACCACCATTATAGAACTCTCGAGCTCATGTATTTTTCATCAATTATATACTGTTGCTTCATTTTATTACTGGGTTCTATCAGATTCTGAAAATTAATTTGGGACTTATAATCGAATCGACAAATTATGGACATTGTTATCTAGTTTGCCAACACTGTCAATTTATATTGCTTTACTTCTCCCAATATATCAGAAGGATTCTGTACTGAAATATGAACATAACAAGCTCTCTGATAAAACAACGTCCCATTATCAATTTTGAATTTTTTGATTACACATCCCCTCAAAAAGAAAAAAGATTTGAGGCAGAGGCTTTTTGACTCGTGCCTGAAAAGATTAAAGTCTGGCCTCTTTTTCTGACAAAGTCTCTCCCAATGCACTTGATATTAATAAACATCAAGTTATTAGTGTTTCTGATTTGCAAGTTGCAAGTCTGAGAAGTTTAGCCTTACCTTGCATTACCTGAAACATTTATCTACAATCTTTATTTAGACAACTAATAATATTGATTTAAATTTCAGGGAGTTTGAGTACGAGAAAACAATGCTCCTGTGGGAAGTTTTATGGACACATTATCCGTCGGAACATCTGCACCTCTATGTATGTGTTGCTGTCTTGAAACGATACCGGAATAAAATAATTGGAGAGGAAATGGACTTTGACAGCCTTTTGAAGTTTATAAATGAGCTAAGTGGTCACATCGACCTTGATGCAACATTAAGGGATGCAGAGGCTCTATCCATCTGTGCCGGTGAGGAAGGTGCAGCTCGTATCCCACCCGGTACTCCACCATCGCTGCCTGTTGATGAGGGTTCGTTTTACATTCAACAAGATGACGAAGTATTGTAAATCTTGGATCTTAAAAATATTTAATTATTTTACAAATTTTTAATCCAAAAACATAAATGTATAAGGTTGTAGTTGAAAAGGGAATTAGATTAAATCTTGTTTTTAAGCACCTATATTTGAATCAAAAATAAAATGTTCGATTAAATATATAATTTGGTTTTTCAACATGTTGGCTCTAAATTTTGACGTCTAAATTGAATTAGAAGAGAATAAGAGTTTCTAAAGAAATCTGATCACTTCGACCAGAACTATATTTTTTGAAATGTGAGTCGAAGGTGTTCCTTTGTCAGGAAAACTATTTTATAGGCTTAAAAATATTTCTTAACAATTGGAAGATGCGATTCGACAGAGGTGTTACTGAAGACATTTTGATAGGAAGATTAGAATTTAAATAAAGGAGGGATCGTTTTTATCCATTTTTTCAAAGAAAGATACGTGGAGCGCTTTTAGGAATCAAAGACATGCAGAATGCCACTTGTCTCGATCTAGTTCGTTAGTCGTTGATGACATTTATTTTCGATTAGTATAAATAGCAAGTCTTAGTGTTAGGGTTTGGGTATGTTCAATTGTGTACAAATTTTTCAATATACTCTAAATAGTCGCATGTAGAGAAACGAGTTTGTGAGAATGTACGTTGATGTAACACTATTTTTACATTTCAATACAATTCAATATGTCTTTTACATTAAGAATTTATCCTTTCTTTATGCAAGTTACTTTTTACATTTTTTATCAGTCTTTCGACTTTAATCCTTCGTGTTCAATTTTATTTACATTTGAAATAAATTATTTTATCATGAATTTTGTTGAAGTGTTCTTTATTTTTTTAAACTTTGTTTAAGATCAATTAGCATATGTCCTAGATTTGTGTGGTCGATTCTGCAAGTAAAACAAATCTTTTTTCGATTTGGAAGACCAGCGGTTGTTCACAAATTTTCACGGCGAACAAATTGACACGCTCAGTGGGACAATGCTAACTGATCATAAGATTTTCTTCGAAATTTTTGAAATTTATTAGTTATGCGGTTAACTTTCTCTTTGAAAACTTCATTGCATGTTATTAAGAAGTGGTAAAGTAGCCACCGCTAACGAAGATAGAACAATGAGAAGATATAGGACGACAAACTCTAACCGGCCAAATATTTTTCAGGATACGCCTGGTAACAATGTAGAACCACCCATAGGATATTCGACAGGAGGAACAAAGGTTTCTGCGTCTGTCTCTGAAGCAATACCATTTATGGGAAGTTTAATAACTACACATTCGATTGCCCATACGCAACCCATTCTGACTTATATTGGGTCAAGGGGTCCTCCACAGACTCCACCACCAATAGAAGTGTCCCTCCTTTTGGATTTGCAATACCCCTGCCTCGAGACCCACCCTATGGAATGCCAACTTCGATGATGGCAAACTTACAAAACACCCCTCCATTATATACAGAACCCGTAATGACTTCGCCATTACAAGGATCAGGCTCTGGAGCAAATATGGGCCGAAATCGCCCAAATGCTAAATTGACAACCAGTTCTGCATCATACTTAAGACAACAAATAGACGAGAGTAACCTTCAAATGGTCCAAATGATGTCCCAGGGGAAATCTTTCAGCCTTTTATTCAGAATACAATCCAAACTAATCAACAATTAGCAGCGTAAATGACGCGCCTTGTATAATTCTTTGGTGTACCAGATCCCCCTCGACAACCACCAAGGGAGTATATGATAGAAAATCAAGGGTTAGTTTTCGACGAAGATACCACCATTAACCAAATTCAACAAAATCCGGGAAATATACCCCAGGCAAATAAAAACAACCAGGGAATGATCTAACGACCTAGAGTCGAACCACCTAGGAATCAACCACAAATTCATAGAGAAGAAAAACCAAGGTAATTTTGGTAAATAGGAACCAGGATGCTGAAAACGTTGTACAACAAGTTCGATGTAACAACGTAGTAACAGATAATAATTTGGTTGTCATGGTCGAAATAATTATGGCACATAACTGAGTAAATTTTGGCATTTGACGGCCAAATTATACATCACCGTTATCTGAATACATCATTCAGTCAGATTTGTCCCCAAGAACAAAGGTTCTTAAGTTTTTCGAGGTTACTATTGAGTCCAGTGTCGAACATGTGGCTAGTTATTTGATAGAAGCAGGAGAAATTTCGAATGATGAGAACCTTAGGGTAAAGTATTTCCCAAGTTCTCTTACAAAGAACGTTTTCACTTGGTTCACAACCCTACCTCCAAATTTGATTCATAATTGGACCCAATTAGAACATTTGTTTCATGAACAGTTCTAAATGGGACAAGAAAAGATCAGTTTGAAGGAATTGGCTAGTATAAAACGAAAGTTCACTGAGCCAATAGATGATTACTTGAATAGGTTTCGACTTCTCAAGGCAAGGTGTTTCACACAAGTGCCAGAATATGAGTTATTCGAAATGGATGCTGAGGGCCTGGATTATTCCATCAGGAAGAAATTAAATACTCAATACCTGAGGGATATGGCCCAGTTGGCCGATAGGGTTCAACAGCTAGAACGCTTGAAAGAAGAAAAGGCTAAGGAAAATAAGAATAAAAGAATAGTCTATGTCGAATTCAAAGAAGAAGACGAAGGGCCTTACAGTGAGGATATGAGTTTCGATAATAATGAAGTAGATCTCGCTAAATTGAAACAAGGCTCACCCTATTCTTGCAAGGTATTAGCACATTAAACGAAAAGAACCCTGCTGAACCAGAAAAGAATGATAGATTTTCTAAGAAAACTTATACATTTGACATCACAAAATGTGACGAAATCTTTGATTTGTTAGTTAAGGATGGGCAAATGATAGTACCCTCTGGTGCTAAAATGCCTCCTTTAAATCAAAGAAAGAAAAGAAAGTTTTGTAAATACCATAATTTCTTGGGTCATAAAACCTCTCAATGTTTTCTTATCAGGGATCTTGTTCAAAATGCTATCTTGGAGGGAAGGCTCAAGTTCGGGGAGAAGTCCAAGAACTAGATGAAAGTTGATGCTGACCCCTTACAAGTTGCTGAAGCTCATTATACGGAGCCAAAATAAGTCAACATGGTCGAAGTCGCTGAAGATTTCAACAATGCATTCAACATGGTTGAAGTCACCGAAGACTTCATTAATAAGGCTGTTTTGGTCCAAGTTACTGAAGATCTCGACCATAAATTCATGAAAGATTTTGTTTGTGAAGCTACTGAAGGCTTCATCAAAGAAATTACTGATAGTTTTGACTGCGAAGTTACTGATGGCTTCGCTAAAGGAATTACTGAGGACTCCAACCTAATGATGATAACGAAGGAAACTGCTGACGATTTCATTCGAATGGACAAGGCCGATGATGGCCTTCAAATGAAATTTTGTAAAATGGATATTGCTGATGATGTCAATATGAATATCAACATGGTGGAGATCTCATAGGAAACCCCCATGGAAGTCGACGAGGAGCGTCGACAGGAAGAGTATAACAAAGTTGCTTACCCGAAGAAGGAGAAAAGCCTCATAGATTTTCTCCACAGGTGCTAGAATAAAAAGTCTGAAGTTATGTTATGCCCAAGGTGCAGTGTTGTGTTTGACAAAAAGGAAGCGTGCAACATAGAGGGTGTGAGAAAGGCCAAAGAAAGGCGTGAGCACAGAGCCTTCTATGGACAACGAGGTTTTGACCCAAAAAAATCATCTTCAAGACAGGACGAAACCAAGCAAAGGGTGCTAGTAGTTAAGTCCTCTACCTTCAAACCAACGACTGAAGCTTCGAAGGGAAGTTGGATGAAACCAGTCGAAGGCAAGCATCATGGACAACAAAAATGACAAAAGTTCGATGTGGACAGGGGCTCATCAATGGCTTACCATAGAAAGTTCCAGGCTTTGAAGAAGACAACTTGCGTCTCAGAAAACTACAAAGGAATAAACCCAATGTCTCGATCCTAGTGGAGAAGAGAGCAGTGCAGAAGGAAGGCTCAAAGAGAGGATGAGGCAAAGGCTGAATCTAGTACTAACCTGCCTACCATAAAAGAGAAAAAGGAGGAGCAAAGCCTGTCGAGAAGCTACCCGTGGGGAGGAAGTTGTTTGCCACCCAGGAAGAGGAGGCAAAAGAGAAATACGATTGGGCAATTGATGAAGATGAAATGCTAATTGAAAATTTCGAATCTGGGTCAGAGGTTTTATTGGATATCATAGTGAATGTGGTATCGGTTTTGCCTAGAGAGTTCTACCAGATAACAGAGGTCGAAGATTTGGACATTTATACAAAAGTTCAGATGGAAGCACACAAGCCAGTGTGCTACTATGTAATGAATAACCGATGTGTCAAAGAATAAAATGCGTTCTTCGAGCGGCCAGATGAGGCGATGAAAAATTATTTGAAGCCTTTGTTTATTACCGGAAAGGTAGAAAACATGACAGTTAATAAAATCTTGGTAGACTATGGCGCTACGGTGAATTTGATGCCGCACTTTATGCTGAGGAAAATCGACAAATACGACACGTATACTAAACCACAAAACATGGTGCTCTCGAATTACGAGGGAAAGGTGGGCACCACTCTTGGTGTCATACAAGTCAACCTTACGGTAGGGACAGTTATAAGACCTACTGTCTTTATGGGGGTCAAAACAAAGGCTAATTATAACTTGCTGTTGAGACGAGAATGAATCCATGGAATTGGAGCCATACCATCTTCCATGCACCAGAGGATTAGAATATGGCAACCAAATGACATTGTCAAAAACATTGAGGCTGATCAAGGTTATTTTAAGGACCCAATTAATCATGTCGACCGACACAATTTTGATAAGCACTTGGCCACTATTGCTCTATGCAATCCGGCTGACTTTGCTTTCACCTCAGATGACGACATTTACTGTTCGTTGTATTTATATCTTGTCCATGGTTTTCGATGGGATAGAGAGGTGGTAGGAGAAGAAAACCTTTTGTACCTTGGTATATCTGGGCTCTAACCCCAACAGGTTGGGGAAGCG